AGGCGCCGGGTAGCGCGAACTCAACTGACGATTGGTACACATACACAAAGCTTCGTTAAGACTGCATGCTCTTCCGGATGCCTGGGAGACGTGCATAGGGCTAAACGCCGAGGTCTACCCGATGACAGGGGTAGAGATGGCATAACGCTAATGGAAGCAGAAATTGCATACTCAAGGTTGGAGTATGCAGAAAAGGGGTTGAATGTAAGAACTTAATGCTAATAACGACCATAGTCTCCACTCCTAGCTGTCGTGGACGAACAGCAGCCGTAGGAAGCAGTCGCTGACTAAAACCGCTAAGGTAATCTGTCACGCAGAAAACACGGGAAGGTGAAGCCTATAAAGTCAAACCGACCAAACCGCAATCGTCGGGCTTTTGATCACGAAAGTTAACTACCCGAGAGAACAAGGAGTCGCGCCAGTCAGAGATGTGGCTGGCTGCTGACGATTACTAAGCCAGAAACGGGGGAGGATGATAGCAGCCGGATCAACATGGTTGACAAAGACAAGGTAGATCCGAGAGCGATCGGTGGGTTTTCCTGAACGAATATCAATATTCAAGATCTGAACCGGCAAGACAAAACACCGTAGCGCAGTGGCTTATAGTGGGACTTCTAACTAACGAGTTGTACGTTCAAATCTCGGGTTACGCAACACCTGGGCCCCAGTATGACCGGCTGATAACGCACAGTGAGCCAAAAATGGCCACTCCAGTCTTGCTTGCGTTTGCTGGCAATGTTCGCTTGAATAAACTACTGGCTGCCGTGTAGCCGCTGACGATGGTCGAGAGTGAGCTGCAAGTTATAGCTGGACGAGCGAGTTCCGTTATCGATCGGTAAGCGTTCATCGGCTAAAATCGACGGAAATACTACTGAACTATGTACTTAGTGAACGCTGAACCGAATTTTCTGTCGGTGGACAAACTGGAGATTGATAGAAGCGAACAGGCGATTTCAAAGAAGCAGTTCAGAAGGGGAAGATGCGATCGTTGAACAAGAGGTTTTTTCACCGGACGCTTCGGAGTCTGACTTAAAGCCATCAACAGAGGCAAGAATAGAAAATATGGATAGAAATTGTAACTCTTTCTATAGAAAACTTAACGTAGACCAATCAGCTGCGCTAAATGATGATTTTTGTCCAGTGGTGAATAAAAGTGTAACTCCGAATGTAGACTTCCAGAGCGCAGCCACTGGCAATCGTGGGAAGCGATCGCTGAAGACGTTTTGGGAAGTCAACAACTGGACTGAAGAAACGTGTAAATGCTGTACGAGCGTATATCAGC